GTTGGGGAGGTGCAGACAGGCCAGGCGGTGGCACATGAGCAGTGAGGGTTCTGCGGGGTGGGAGTGTGGGGCTAGCATCTCTGCCCTGCCTGCATCCTTGACCTACCTCTGCAAAGAGAGGACTTGCACAGAGCTTAGCTGCTGCTATCCTGTGTGATATTCAGCCATGCTCATTCAGGTCCTCCCTGCAATACCCAACTAAAGAGGACTCCCCTGTGAAGTGCTGGTGCTGGCTCAGTGTCCGTGTCCCAGCCCCGTCCTGCTGCCAGCAGCCACGTGCCCTCACCCACGCTGGCATCTGCCAGTGCAGCTCCACTGGCTGCCGTCCTTGCAGCACCCACCTCTTGTTTGTGTCCTGTGTCATGCCAAGGGAGGTGATGCGGTACAGGATTGACAACAGTGGGGGCAAGGGGACAGCGTGAGGCAGGTGGAAGCACTAATTGGTCATGATCTAATCAGGGAAGCCTAGAGCTAGATTAGGAGCTGTGACACAGTAGAGGGTTTTTAGCTGTAAGCCACAGATGGCTCTGCCTGCGAGCTGGGAGAGGAGAGGCTGGCATGGACTTGCTGGGAGTTCGTAATCCTGCCTGCATGACAGTCCGTGCTGGCTAACAGGACTGTTTTCTGATGGCTTGGAAATACCTTGGTGCCTGGTCCATGTAAGGCGGGTAGTCCCTGTTGCTCCCCGCCCACACTCCCTGCTTTGTCCCACTCCCTGCCCACCCTCCCCACCGGTGCCTGTCACAGCCCACTCCTGTGCTGCACGCATGGGGACAGCAATGGATGCAATACAAACATTGGGAAAAGCAGCAAAGCACAAAGCAGCTGGAGCCGCTCAAACTATCCCACAGCAGTTCTATGGTACTTGCCTTCAGCCCATTCCTTTATCAGGAGCACCTGGCCTGCGCCAGCTTAAAAATGTAAATATTAAGTAAGGAATCATGCAACACTTCTGGATTTTACTGAGGGGAAAGCTCATAAGAGAAAAGGTAAATATGTGATTTTCTTCTTAGTCAAAATGACTTTTATCTGCGGAAGCTCAATGGAAAGCAGTGGCCAGCTGCCTGAGCACCGAGATGGCCATGCAGATGTCACAGCAGGTGTCATACTTGCCACCAGAGCTGAGCACCTAGACTGTTGGCCCCTTCCTCTGTTTCAGGGGTAATTCAGCTGATCTTTCAGTTGGGTCACCAGCATGGTGCGGTGCACATGCCTACATTGTGCCCCTTACCCGGCTATCCGCTGCCAACACACTCCAGTGCCTTTCCCCACCATTGCCTACTTGGCAGGGAGCTGAAGCAAGCAAGCATCCATGGCAGCCAGAGCAGGGTCATTGCCATGCACCAGGGTCAGAGGCAGCCCTGGCAGGACAGCAGGCTGTGGCTCTCCCTGTGCCCACCTGTTGCACCAGCATCATTTGGCTCTGAGCCTGTTTTCCCCTTCCTCCCCAAGGCATTTTTACAGCTGCAGCCAAGCTCTTTGGCTGCTGCAGGACAGCAGGCAGGAGCGCTCAGCCCCACTGATGATGAGAGACGCAGGTCCTGCAGCCGCTGGAGCTCCCACCCTTCCTCCCTGGCTGCCCTTGTGACACAGCACGGCTCCTGCCTGGAGGGGAAATCCTCCCCCTCGCCTCCCACAGGGCTCAGAGCCGGCCAGGCTGCCCCGCATCCGTGCCGAGGCAAAAGGATTTGGGGTAAAGGCTCCTGGAGTGCCACCTTTCCCTCACTGCATCCCAGCAAGGGTTTCTTTTGTGCCCCCTCACTCTCCACCCCTAGCCCGGCACATAGTGTTCTATCGCTGGTGCTTTACCCCAGCCTCTAGCTCTTCCAGCAAAATTCCTTTCTGGCCAGTCATTGCCACCCCTCAACTTCGACAATTCTGGGCTGGCGCTTCCTTTTCCTGAGCCACCCCAGTTCCCGCCACATTCCCGGCCCCCTCCTCGCCTTCACCCAGTGCCATGGCATCAGCCCTTCCCTGGGGACTTGGGGGTGCAGGGTCCGCCAGTTGAGCCCGCCTCAGGATTCGGATGCCTGGTGGGGGTCCCCAGCTCCCCTCACCCTTCTCCAAGGAGCTGCATCCTGCGCATTCTCCGTTCAACTCCAGCCCCACTGCCCTCAGTGGGTTTTTGTGAGAGGATTTACAGCCCCAGTTAGCATAGGGATTGTCCAGAGGGTGAATCACTCACTGTGGGACAGTGGGGAGGAGTGGGAGGCAGTGGCTGCTGGAAGGGGGCTCAGCCACATGGAGGGGTGAGGACCCCCAAGGGCATCATCTGTCCTTGACACACCACTGCAGCTCCCACACCAACTGGCATCTCACCCAGGCATACACCCAGCACCCCTGGAGCTGGCCGTGTGCTGACACCCACAGCACCCAAAGGGGACATGTCCCCCACATGTGGCCAGCACCCACTTGCTCACACCTCACTGTGTGTGCCCATCATGCTCAGACCCCATGGCACCCACCCAGCTCAGCTTCCCACAGTGGCACTGCCTCTTATTACTAAATAAAGGGTCAATGCTTTGCTTTTCCACAGTCCCCTTCACCTGTGGCTCTCCAAGCATTGTGCAAATATTAATTACTGGTATTTAATTAAATCAGGCCTTCCCATCCCCCTGTGTAGATGCTGTCTCATAAACATGCAGGTAGTAAACACGGCATCAGGGTAGGCTCTCTGAGCTGGGTGGGAGCTTCCAATTACCTGTTGCTAATGATGCAAAGCCCGCCTGCAGCTGTTTCTACCTAATTGACCTTCCTGGAGGGCTAATGGGCTGGGAGAGGGAGATAGGTGGGAAACCTGTAGGACCTGGTCTGATCTCATTAAGGAATGATTAGATGGACCCTTATAAATGCCCCTGGATCTCCTATTCCTTGCAGCTTGTGCTCCTGGAAACTTGATTCTGGTTTGTTGCTGCTGGGGTATGTAGCTGTGATACATGGGGCTGCCTGGGTGGGGGGGTCCCAAGCAGCTGATGGAGCTTGCCTTGTGTCAGCCTTTCAGCTCTGAGCCACCCTGGGGTACTGTGCCCTGTTATCTGCACTGGTGCTGAGCTGCCATTCCTTTAAGGTAGATGGGGATCATCTCCTATTAGCCCTCTGCCTCTTGAAGGGTGACTCAATGTGTTTCAGAAGCAGCATAAGGGTTCAGCACTCTCCCCTGTCTTGCTGCTCCCTCAGCAGAGAGCTGGGATGCTGTGCAGGAAGAGGACAGGAAGGCAAACAAGGTTGTTGAGCCTCCCGAAGCAGAAGGTGGATGTACAGTAGGAACCTTCAGATTGCTTATGGCAGCATGGCCTGGACCATCTCTTGGGCAAGATCCCTCTGCCCTCCCAAGGGACAAAGCTCCTCTAGGCAGCCTTGGGTGTTGTTTGGGGGCACCATCTCTCTACCTAGCAGGTCACAATCTCCCTTGCTTGAATATGGCTGCCGCTGTCTGTCCCTAAGACTGTGCAGGGCACCAATTTCTGACCGGAGGTGTCACCTTAATCTGGATCAGTGGGAAATCTGTTGCATGCCCACGCAGCCCCGTGTTGCAGGTTGCTGCCCAGCCAAGGCTGCAGCAGCTCCTCCAGCTTTGTGAATCAAGTGCCAGCTGGGACATGGGGGTAGCCATGGAGGAACCCAGTCCTGGGCAGACTTTTGTGCTGTGTTGTGGAGAACAAATGCATTAATTGCTGAGCGAAGCCAGCTTAATTTTCCATTCTACCAGCAAAAGCAGGAGAAAACTGGGGTGAGATTAAGGCATTCCTTGGGCAGCTGCTACTCCCTCACCCCGACTGCTGTACCTTGGCCTGTGAGGCTACTAATGCTATTTACATTATTACTGGATTATTTTGGTGTAATGAGCTTTGCCCTGCTCAGCTGTCCCTCTGCTCAGGGGTGTTGTGATGTGTAATACTTCCTGCACAAGTCCACGAGGCGGGCAGCTGCCTGCTCAAAAACAAGCAGAGCCCCAGCAAAACAATGCATTAATGTTTCCAGAGCAAAATTCCAGCATGGGCCAGAGGTTAATCACAAATCAGGGAGCTTTTGGCTTAGTACTGAGCAAAGCCAGCAGGCGGGAGAGCGATGGTGCCCTAAGCCGGGTCCTGACCCATCTCTGTGGGTACAAATAGGAGTGACCATATTGGTTTCATCTCTGCTAGCAGTGTAACACAGCTATGAGCATCTCTTCCTTGACTCCTTTTCCTATGCCTTCCCTCCCATCAGACCTGCTAGTGCAGGGGCTTGGTGGATGTGTTGCTATGGACACCGAGAAGATTCCCCTAGAGACCAGAGGCCCGGAATAACTGATGCCTGTGTTTTCTGTCATTGATTTCTTTTTCTTCCCCTTTTTTTGTTATTAATGTTTGTTTAAGTGTTGATTAATTCCCAGCCTTTCACTCCCTCCCATCCTGCTTTTCGCTCCAAGCTTTGTGCATTGCTGTGGCTGTATCCCAGGACTTGGCTTCTGCTCTGTTGTCAGCGAGGGTGCAAGCATGGGGTGCGTGGGAGGAAGTTTCAGTGCTGTAACTCTTGCTCTGCTGGAGAGCCCTGCAGAAGAGATCCCCCATTTCTTCCAGCCTCTTGAGATCCTGTTGGGGTCAGGCCTGGGTCCCCCCAGGCTGCTAGAGAGTTCATGGGCACCCACCAGCAGCAGCCATTGCAGGAGGTTCTGGACCCCTCTTCCCAGGGCTTGAGCCTCCCTGCAAAACATGCCTGCAAAAGCATGGGTGGGGGCACCCTACTCCCTTTACAGGTGTCCATCATGTTTGGTACCTCAGAGTGATTTAGATCTAGATTAGTTAGTGACTCTGCTGGTCTGAGCTCCAGGCCTGATTCCTGTTTTATAGCTCCTGCGTTGGCACTGCAGTACCCTTTAGTACCTCAAGTGCCCCAGCTGGCCTCTGAGAGCTCTTGGCCTGCAAAAGCACTGTCAGGAGGCAAGTCCCTGCAACTCTTGGAAGTTCATGTCAAGGTTGGAGCCAGAGTTTGCTGGGGGGGCACTCACAGGAAAGCACCTTGGCTTTCCTTGCAACATTCAGGTTGGACTTGGCAAGGCAGCCTGTCCCCAGCATCTCCATAGCGCCAGGGCATGGAGCAGTGGTCAGGGAGGGTGACCCCATTTCCCCAGTGTGGTGCAGTGCTGCAAGTCTGTAGAGCATGTCTCTGGACACTTGGCGTGCAGGATGGGATTTTCCCGTGAGATAGTCTCAATGTCATTTTGACTTCTCTTTCTTTGCTCTTGAAGCTAATAACGGGCTGTTTCTGTTCCCTGTCACATGATCTGCCACATGCTGAATGAGGAGCCCCTCTGGTGAGTGATCTCCTCTGTCCTGTGCCTCTCCCTTTCTGCTCTGGAGGGAGTTCACATTCCAGGTTTCAATCAGCTGCTTCTCTAGTTCCTGGAAATACAGTTCAACACTGGGTCAGAAAGTCTCTGGTCCACCGAAATCCTGCCTGTCACAGCTTGGGTTGCCAAAATTGCAAGTCCCTCTCTGAAATCTTACAACAAACAAGTTCTTTGTTGCTTGACCCCTGCCTGCAGCAGTTAGCATGGTGTCAGCCAGCCCAGAGCTCCTGCAAGCAGCCCATGCACTGGCAGGTGGGGCAGGGAAGGCAGGAGCTGCTACTTAGAATGTTTTTTCTGTGTGTTTGGGGATTGTGCTGGGACAGCAGAAAGACCCCCTGCTCTGTACTGTTCCTCCTCTGGAGTGTGGGGTAAGGCTGCAGAGCATCAGCCCTTCACGGTGGTTTGCAGAGGTGCTGCAGGGGGATGAGGAGTAGAGGTGAGTCCTAGGACCAAATACAGCAGGAGAGGGTCAGCTCTTGCCTATAGCTCTGGGAGAGCTGTGTTGCCCTCCCCTCCCCTGCAGCCCCCAGCTCAGCACAGAGGACTGCACGTGCCATGGTGCCACTCTGGAAGGAGCAGTAAGGCTGGATGCTGCTGCTTGCTGAGGAGGTGAGAGCCCCACCAGGGCCAAACACTCAATTGCTGTGATGTCTGAAAGCTACTTGAAAAATGACTCCTTTATCCAGTTCCAAGTAAGTGGAACTAAACAAGTGGAAGCTCCAAAAAGCAACAGTTCCTTCCCATGCTGTTGCCAAATCAGTGCTTGCTGGTATGTTTCTGAGCAGGCCAGGACTGCCTGAGGGCTAAGCGGAGCAGAGCCGGTGGGTAGCTGGTCCCTGTGTTGTCCTCCTGCACCTGCTTAGGACTTATGAGAGCATCTGGGGAGCTCTGCATGGCTTTGGGGAGATGGTGCAGGTGACCTGGTTGTCCACACAGGGACAGGGAGCAGAGCCCAGGCACTTGCACTGCACAGCACTTAGGACTGCAGACCTGCAAGCCAAGCATGGATAGTGGCTCTTTTGTGGGGACAGGGAAATCACAAATCCAGACAGGGATGTGCACCCAGCTCAGAGTCACCAAGTGCTGGCATGGTCTCTGCTGTCCTCTGCGCTTGGCAATGGCCTGATGTCTGGCTGCTGTGTTGCAGTTGCCAGAGGTCTCTTCTGCAGCTGCCCAGCTGAGGTCAGTGCCATGATGCCCGGCTGTGTCCTGAATGCTAAACAGACCCTTCCCCTCTCACTTTCCCTCCCTCCTTTCTGCCAGCAGTTCCCTATCAGCAAAACCCCTACACCCCTGGAAGCAGCTCCACTGTCATCCAGTGCTACCGCTGCGGGGACACCTGCAAGGGAGAGGTGGTGCGCGTCCAGAGCAATCACTTCCACATCCGCTGCTTCACCTGCCAAGGTAGGATAGTGCCACCCAAAGAGGTGGTGGCCAGGTTGCCCCCTGGCCCCAGGTGCAATATAGAAAGCAGAATGCTGGGGACAGACCTACCTGGTCCACTGAGATGTGGTCACATGCCCAGGGGTGGCAGCTTCCAGCAGGGATGGATGTGGCACAGTGCAGGTGGGGAGGCAACATCACAAGGCTGGCACAGTGCAGGCAGTGCCCTGCGTGATGCCAGAGTGGGTGGGCTGTGAACAGGGGTGGCCGAGACCTGGGTACCGTGACTACCCTTGAGCTGCCTGAATGCCACTAGCCTGCGCTGCACTGGTCCCAAACATACCCACAACATATCTGTGATCTGGGGAGGGCCACCACATCCTTCAGCTGCCTGCCTGTCCCCAAACCGAGAGGAGGAGGAGGAGGTGTTGCCAGCCTGGCTGGGGGACAGTGAGGCAAGGGAGAGACTCAGAGCGGCTCCTGATGGGGCTGGGGCTGGGTGATGGATTGCTGCCACCCACACATGGGAGGCAACTGAGGTGCTATGGGATGCTGCTGGGGCTTGTCGGCCCCCAGGGGCTGGCAGAACTAGAGGAGAGGGGTTCCTGAAACCCTCCCTGAGCACAAGAGGAGAGCTGCAGAGCTGTAAAAGCTAACGGCCCAGAGCTGATGCTGAAGGAGGGCTCCTTAGTGCGTTTATTAGAGCAGCTGCTCTCAACCAGGCCAGTGGATGCTTCTGTAGGCTGTAAAGCATCCCATTACCAGGGCTTTTTAAAGGTCTCTGGTCTTCCAAGCTCCCAGCACCTTGTGATAAGCAGGGCATAAATCCCTCTTCCCTTGGCCATGCTTTGCTGCTCCTCCACCAGGAACAGAGGCTTTGGCTGGAGGGGACTCTTCCCCTGGGCTGACACAATGCCTGCTGCAGCCTTGTCCCCGATGGTGTGGGCAGATCAGCCCATGACCTCTGCAAGGGTGTGGGGGCCCCAGGTTGTGCTGAGGGCTGACATACACATGTGGGGCCCGTGCTTGAATATGTAGGATCCAGCAGGAGGTGCACAAGCAGACAAAGAGCTCAGACAGCCGTCGGCTTCAAAGGGTCCAGGAGCCAGCAGGGAGAGGTTGGCAGTGCTCGCTGCCCGATTTCCAAGTGAAAGAGAATAAATAATAAGAGGAAATCCTCCTGTCTCACTTTCCCTCACAGCTCTTACCCCCTGCCACCTCAGGCTGGCTGCCGCCAGCTCTCACGCCAGCCCTGTGGCTTGTCCCTAATGTGTCCCCGGGAGCCTGGCACGGCTGGTGCAGCCCCTGGGGATGTGCTCTGCATCCCACAGCAAACAGGGCCCAGACCTGCCTTGTTTTTTCTTGCTTCTGCTTCCTCATGCTGTCCTAGACCTGGTGGCCTGTCGCACCTTACTGACGAGGAAGCACTGGCAGGCTGTTTTAGAGAGCAGTGGGTGCTGGCGTCATACCCCCCGGCTGTCTGCCCACAGTTTTGGGGTGTGTCTTTGCCAGGGGATGCTCTGCAGGAGAGGAGCTGCTTCTCTGCCCCTGTGGGCCCCACAGCCAGTGGGTCCAGCTGTGCCCTGGTGAGGGTGGCTACTGTGAGGGGTGGTCCACAGCTGCAGGTGAGGCATGCAAGGACAGGACAGAGGGGTGCTTGGGGATGAAGGGTAAAGCAGAGACCAAGATGGGCTGTGTTAGTGGGTGCTCAGTTGCTCTGTAGTTCCTCCCTCCACCCCGTCATCTTACAGGACAGGTGATGGCCATCATGCAAAGGCCCCAGGACCTGGTCACTGGGACGCTGCTGAAGTGCCTTTCAGGGTCTGATGCTCTCTGTGGATGGAGAAGATGTAGGAGGGATATGACATTAAGTGCCAGGGCTTGCCACATCTACTTGGGTTACAGAATCACAGGATGTTAGGTGTTGGAAGGGACCTCTGTGGGTCATCTAGTCCAACCCCCCTGCTGAAGCAGAGTCACCTACAGCAGGCTGCACAGGACCTTGTCCAGGCGGGGTTTGAATATCTCCAGAGAAGGAGACTCCACAGCCTCCCTGGGCAATCTGTTCCAGTGCTCTGCCACCCTCAAAGTGAAGAAGGTCTTCCTCATGTTCAGATGGAACTTTCTAAGCTTCAGTTTGTGCCCGTTGCCCCTTGTCCTGTCGCAGGGCACCACTGAAAAGAGTCTGGCCCCATCCTCCTGACACCCACCCTTAAGATATTTATAAGGTCCCCTCTCTGCCTTCTCTTCTTCAGGCTAAATAAGCCCAGCTCCCTCAGCCTTTCCTCATAGGAGAGATGCTCCAGTCCCCTCATCATCCTTGTAGCCCTCCGCTGGACTCTCTCTAGTAGTTCCTCATCTTCTTGAACTGGGGAGCCCAGAACTGGACACAGTTCTCCAGATGGGGCCTCACCAGGGCAGAGTAGAGGGGGAGGAAAACCTCCCCCAACCTGCTGGCCACACTCTTCTTAATGCATCTCAGGATCCCATTGGCCTTCTTGGCAGCCAGGGCACACTGTCCAGCCTGTCCAGGTCTCGCTGAATGGCAGCACAGCTTTCCGGTGTATCCACCACGCCTCCCAGTTTTGTGTCACCAGCCGTACTCTGATGGGCTGTGTACCACCCATGGTTCCCACACCAGGGAAGGAAGCAAGGTAGAGCTGGATACCTATGGAAAAACAAGCTGTGAGAGCATCAGTCCCAGTGTGTCCCAGGCCCTGTTCCCATTAGGGCATGCCTTCATGTCCAGGCCAGGGAGTGGAGATAGCTCGTTGTGGGGAAGGCCATGCCCCAGGGTGTGGACCTCTCCCCAACTTTCCCTAGGGCATGCCCAACTCTTTGCCAGTCTTGTTCTCAGCTTCCTGACACCATAGAAGTGTCAAATGGAGGGGCTGAGCTCCATCCGGGTGCCGTGGGTCCAGGAGGGGGTGCCACGGGCGCTCCCGGGCTGTTTGTGCACGGTGAGTGGGGGCTGCAGGGGCTCCCTTTCCGGCGCTGCTGTTTCCCCCGGGAGGGCCCAGCCTCGGCTGTCTGGGCAGCATCGTCCTGCACCCTGCCACAGCCCAACACTGACATCTTGTGGTGCTGGGGAAAGGCCCCGGTGCGCCTTGTGGGAAGGGAAACCCTCCGAGATGCTTGCAGAAATCTGTGTCTTCGGAGATGCCCTGGGACCGCTGCGGGAGAGGCAGCAGAGGCGTCTCGGAGATCCTGGGGCTGGACCTGCCCGCTACCCCCTTGACGGGTGTGTGTTCTCCCTCTGCAGTGTGCGGCTGCGACCTGGCCCAGTCAGGCTTCTTCTTTAAGAACCAGGAGTACATCTGCACCCATGACTACCAGCAGCTCTACGGG